TAAAATGGAATAGGATTTCAATATGACACAAAGGTGATACAAATTGTGTAATGATAATCTGACATCAAAAAAATTCGTTTGTTTTTCATAGTTTACGTACAAAAACCACACATGTAATGTTCATGTTCTGCTCCAGAACAGTCAAGGTGGACCCTCAGGGAAAGGTACGAACAGTTTACCCAAACCTCTCCCCTCTATATTCACAAAACGTCCCATTACAGATACAGAACATGGTATGAACTCCAATACAAATGATACTCTGGAATTGAAAAAACGTAGTATTCCATCTTACCGGCCATAAATAATCTAAATTACCACTTTGCAATCAATAGTGTCTAACCTAAATGTGAGGAACTGCAAGCTACAAAATAAGCACAAATTAATATCAACAACTCTTGTGGTGCGCATTGAACTTAATTAGAGAGAAAATAAACTTATATTATTGGTTTCCAAAACCTACCAACGTAAATGTTTGGGAACTGAAAAACATTCTTCTTCGGTATTAGGCGCGATGCACGTGACAACAGGTGACACAGACAGCAGAGCATCATACGAGCGTTCTGAAGTAGTTAACCGCTGTTCATTTTGACAGAGCAATAAGTTCGGTTCCATATTTCATATTACCCGACTATTCCATAATACCCCAACTTCCACCGCGTTTTGATGTTTAGAAAAATGCGTGTAAAGTTAACATATGTAAAAAATTACATCACAATAATTACGTGGGTTATATTTCCTCACCATAAAATTGTACTGTAAAATAATGGTCATAACTGTTTCTCGTTCAAAATAATTTAAATAAATTGGTAGGAAGAATATAAAATTGCCCCATGAAGAGATATCTTATAAACGTTTAAACATTAGTGTGACAAACGTATGCCACAAATTATAGCAGCGAATATTCTTCCTCTTCCTACAATTTTTAAGAACCCTCGATCGCTGACACTCTCTGAAGATACGTAACTCATGGGAAATGTTGAAAAAATGGATTTCCCACGAATGTAAATATTGTTCTTATTTCTTTAATTTTTTTCATTTATTATTGAAAAGGAAAAAATAAATTTTCCTTCTATACTTCCTGTCTATAAGAACAGTTGTACGTCACGTTCATAGCGAGCTTGTTATGTGAATGAGACAAGCATTATTTTTCTACGGACTTGACTTAAAAACATCTACAATTAATTTCATTTTCAATTATTAATTTTTTAAACACTTATTGATGAAAATCTACAATTTGATATAAGTACCTAACGAATCTTAAATATTATTACCGAAAAAAATATAAAAAATGTTAATAAGCAGGAAACGTCATGTGGATCTATACACAAGCTTCTCCTATATGACGACCTTTCATTCAAACAACCGCATCCAATATTACTTTCGTACTAGTGTTTTAGAGTTCAACTGAAAGGCATAATTGACGTAAGACGTGTATAAATTTCAAAATTATACCCATGTTAAAACGTAGTCCGAGGGTGGTAATAACCGTGCCTTATGGATATTATTTTCCATAAATTATATTGCAGAATAGACTGGTGTAATGTGGTATGTTTCGCTTACGATAGAGCACATTCGTTCATTACAAATTCGTCAGTATATCTTACATTTCAGCTGCTGGACGTTTTGATCCAAGAGTGCCTTATTTGAGTTTCAATTTTCTTTCTTGGGTTTTGTGTGGTCCCACAAACTAAAACACGCAACCTAAAGAACAAATAATTATGATTCTTGAGGTAAGAGTAACTAAATTTCATTCACATTGGTAAATTAAGGCGTCATTTAAACTCATGATCAGAGGCTTATCTACGGTACGGCTGACATTGCACGTGCCATAGGCGCCACTCACAAGGAGCACTGTTTGGTGTATACACGCTAAAGCAGATAACAACAACCCTAATTTGAAGACTCCTGACACGGGCGCTTATTCTATACTTGCCACGGGCGCCTGAATATCGAGATACGTCTCTGCTCATGACTGGCTTCAATATTCATATTTTACATTTCTTCATCTTAATTCTGAGACGATTAATTTATTCTGTGAAATTTTTAATGACATAATTCGCGGAAATGCATCTTTCAAGTTCTTGGAACACAAAGATGGTGCATTAAAAGGATATTTTTGATTTATTTAATTCAGCACCAATATTAAATCTCAAATGGCATATCAAATAACACGAAATATATTAAACTAATATAAATAATATAATCCAAACTGTATCACGCTCCTCCAAATGTTTTAATACATTAGAATTACCTGGATCTTTCAAGCCTTAATAAACCAATGTTAAAATAGTCACAACACATTTGTTTTCGTTTTGACAACTGACCGATCTTTGTAATAGCGTGTGTTACATTAAAAACATATTAACTAATATTTTGAACGCTCTTAGCATGGAACAAATTATAGTGTGACCACTACAATACAAACATTATTGCATATTGACTATAAATATGTTGTTAATAACTAATAAGATAATATAATTAGACCCGATTTGCACGAGTTTATTTGAGGAGTATTGAAAAGTTTGCTTAAACTCGTTCGCCTGTGGAGAAAGGCTTTTGGAGCGGTATAGCCGCTATACGAGCATATACGAGCTATAACTAAAATGCCTGAAATTGTTCGTCAAAATGAAGCGTATACTTCGAGTCTAAGATTTTGTAAATCAATTTGCATTAAACTTCTTAGTGACAAATAATATGAAATAGATATTAAATAAATATATTTTGTGTTGTTTAATCCCACCATTCAATTAACAACTCTACCCCGTTCCTTCTTTAGATGGTGTATCGAGTTCTACTAGTAATTACTCTTTCGGCCCCTTCCGAAAGAACATTACCTTCTCAAATGCAGTCCTCCACCCGTCCTTCTGTTTCATTTTCTATGCCTGTCTCTACCGCCACTACTTTCGCGCCAATGCTCGCCGGCTTCCCCGCCACTGCCACTTGCAGCGCCCTTCATCCCCGCTTCCGACTCTGCCTCCTCCACTTGCATCGCAGCCACATTTTGCTGCCACCGCCGACACCAGAAGCCCTGACCTCCCACCCGCTCGCCGACCCTGGTACCCTGCCGGAAAACCCCACTTCAATGGCCGCCACCCTGCCAGCACGATAAGTAGCTGCCTTCCTCGCCACCGCCACCACTTCCAGCGAGAACGGCCTCGCCAGCCCCGAACCCCATCTCCGGCCCCCTACTCTTACCTCCGCCTCTGGCCACACGCCGTGCCATAAACCTCGCCCCGCACCGCCAGCCCGCCCCTCTGGAGCTAGTTGCCACCCTCCGTCCCCATCACGCTTTCGAACTCCCAGAACTGCCCGTTCATCTCTGTCTGCTCCTAACTCCTAACCTCTGCCGCATCCAGGACCCGCCCGCGCCATCGACATTCCAAACCGTCCTTCCCGTCCCCCTTCCTCCGGCCACCCGCCACCCCCAAGCCCTAACTTCCCATCGCATCCGTCCCCCCGCGTCCCCCGTCTCTCTATCCGTATCCAAATCACCAGCCCTACCTGCTGGACCTCGCCGATTCCTACCCCTTACACACCTCCGGCTCCATTCCGTCCACCGCCATTGCTGACTACCCGCTCCCGCCCCGACCGCGTCCTCTCGCGCCCAGCGACTGGCAAGCTCCCTCCACCTCCGCCCGCCGCCCCGGGACCCGGGCCCGGTCTCGCGGATGGCGCTGAGGGATCCCGTGGGCGGGGTTCGGGCGGATTGGCAAGTGTGGCTGCGATAACTGGCGAGCGGCCGCTTGGGCTCCCCCTCCCTGCCGCGTGCGCTCAGGGCGCTCTGTGCTGTGGCCGCCGCGCCCCGCCACGCTCGTGCGACGGGCGCCCGCCCCGCACTGGGCTGGAGCGACAGCGCGGGATACGTGGCGTGGGCCGCGCGTTATCCTACCCCCGCCTCCACGACTTCATTTCCAAGGACACGGATATGGCCGTTTACAGCGATGGTTTGAAGGTAATATGACTGGAGAAGCATTGTACAGGTTTTGGGAACCCGGTCTCATCGCGATTTCTATCAGCTGCGGCGCGAAATATCGGTTTCCTTTGCCAAGTGAGGCGTTATTTTAAATTTGTGATAAGAGCGGTGGTCTGAAGCTGCAGATCTGGTGATAGATTCGGTTATATAATTCAGACTGTGTACTAGACACGGAGTCATTCGTCAGTACCACCGGGAGGTGCTGGGGACCTTCACACGCAGACGGCGATCAGCGCAACTGAGCGTGGGAAAGGAAGGGGAAAGTCATCACTATCAGCACTGGCGGCCGAATCATGCTCAACAAGTTAACTAATAAGCTCAGTGAAGCCTCTGTATGGTGTAGTGTGAAGGCTGCCATTTAGATCTGTAGCGATGGTGCTAGGCGCGTCCGTACCGGAGGTAGCGGGAGGACGCCACTGACTGCTACAGCAGCGCCACTTGTGCGAATACCTCCATTAAAACCAATACTTTGCCAGCCGCAGCGCGTCTTGACAGCTCTGTTTAGTGGCTAATTGTAGTAGCCTCTGAGGGTAAATTTGGTAGATGCACTACTCACTCCCTTGGTATTCTAACAATCCTCAGTGTTTTAAAAGCGCAAAATGTCTTCTTAGAGATATATTTCAAAGTAATTCAATTTCAAATAAAGCTCAATACGTAGTTACTAATACCATTAAAGCGTGACAAGTAGTGTCCTGTATTTGGCACCATTTTTAATCAGTTTTCTATGTGTGTCTTACGCAGAATGCGACGGACGGCCTTGTGCAGAGACGCAGGCTGCAAATGAGTTCCCGAGCCTCCATTGTCCTCTCTGTTCTTGAGGAACAGCCGAGGACCCAGTGGAAGCGTCACGTTCCTGCGTGCTTCTCCCAACTACAACGTTACCATCAATCTCTACGTGGCTTCCTCTTTCGACAACAACTCTCTGGTGAATATTTTGGGATATTTCTCGTTGCCGATGAAAGCAAATTGGTTTCTGTAAATGCTGGAGAAATATTCCGAGCTTCTCGGGACACTATAAGGCGATTGGATTACCATATGGGGAATATGCCTGTTGTGACGTACGTGCCATTGAGAGGTCGATATCAAGTTTTAAAACGAAACGGCAAGCATCACCAACTACTCTACGGAGATCAAATAAGGCTTTTGCATGAGCTTATGAAAAGGCTACATTTTATCTTCTTTATCCCGGAAGACTTTAAAAACATTGACATCAGCGTAGTAAGTGTAATTTTCAAAATCTCAGGAAGTCTATTTCATACTTTACAGAACAAAAGGAATCAAACTTAAACACATTAAAGCCATTTATTACAAATTACATAAATTTGCAATTTTTTTAGAATTTAAACTCACATATGTAAATTATTTGTAATTTTATTATAATTTAACGCAGTTTCAATATAAAATTTTAATTTCGTGAAAAAATGCTCATATAATCAATAATCAAAACTTGCTGACACGTGTGACAAGCAGACCTTTTCGCGAAAAACTTCTAAGAAAAGTTCTCTACCAACAATGATAATGGAAAACTGTGGCATGAATGAGAATATTTAAAGTAAATTTCGAAAGCATGAAATAGGCTTTCTTGAAAGGTATTTTAATAAAAAACAGTAATAATCAACTCTCTCAGAGGAAACTTGTTCGTTCCAGGCACGACGAATATGACGAAACGTTAGATGGGATCTTGACCAACCACACTGCAGTAGGCTCCATTGACTTAAATGTAGTGGAGAGCGAGCAACGCAGCTGGCTATCGGAAACCGTTGAGTGTATCCAGGCCACTTCGTCAATGTTCAAATTGATCATCGTTGTTCCCAACGCGCTTCTCCCGCGCTCGGCCGTGTCGCGTGCACGCTGCGACGTGTTCGAGCGCGCCAGGCGAGCGTGTTGGTCCTGCGTTGGCGAATAGTCAAAGCTGGGCGGCGTTAAAGACGGACGCTCAGAACTGAAGATTTTTCGACTGGCGCGTGTTCCGGCGGGCCGAGGCGCTGGCGGCGAGCCGCGCCGCGGCCGCAACTGCCGCCCTTCTCCTCTGTGCGGGGGCGCCGCCGCAAGAGAGGGTGCGCGCCACGCCGCAGCGCCTGCAGCTGGCCGCCGCGCTGCTCGCCTCCGCGGTCGTCCTAGCATCTGCGTATCAGGTAAACTAGGGTACATCGCGTTTCGCTTGCTGCAGGACGGGCCGGTTGCTCTTGGCTCTCAGAAAATGGGAAATGAAAAATGTTGGCAACTGCTGCAGAGGTATGAGAACTGCTAAGTCCAAAATTACTGATACTGTTGAATCGGCAGCGCTCTGCGACATGAATGGCTTCTTTTAACCCTATTTCCTCGGGCCTACCAATTTTATTATGATTCTGAACAACCAAATTCAATGTGGTGATTGTACCTCCAACGTCTTCACAGATATATGGATTCTATTACTTCTAGGCTGTCCGGGTGACGCCGCGTCGTTGGCAGATAGGCCAACATAGGATTTGGCCACCCCCACCATTTGACAGCCTAGAAGTAATGGACTCGAGCCGCGGAAGCCTACGTGTACATGGATTCTATTGCTGAGGTCTCTCGGAATAAATAGTGCAGACTTTTAAAGCATTAAAAGACGCAAAGTTGACCATATTCTGCAAATGATCATAAGATGGTAAATTTTATTTAACAAAGTTGAAATGTTATTATTTATATTATATGATCCCGTGATTATTATCCAAGTCCTCGCGCTCTAGTGTTCGCCACATACTAGAAATCTGAGTCAAATTGCGACCTGCTAAACAGCAGTGCATGATGAGTTCCTAACAATTAGAGAGAAATGTAACAAGTGAAAATACTTAAATATGAAATATTCCACGCCACATTCCTTGACAAAGAGTGATCATCTTCAAATTTCTTCAATCCCTCGACAGAAAAATACGTTAGTAGCAATTATTCTGAGACAATGTATTTTTACACCCGGTTTTTCGTTATTATCGCTACTATTAAAAACTAAGAAGTAAATATTATTTAATATTTTAACAAATTTTTGGCTGAAGTGGTGCCCACTATATTTTCTAAACTTATACGTTCCTACGTTCAACTTGGGGAATCATTTACAGTTCTATTTATGTCGAATTAGATTTTTTGCATTAACTTAAAATAAATATTAAAACTTCATAAATATGCGAAAAAAATATTTTTGATTCTTCTGTACAACGACAATTTTTAATTTCAGGGCCGCCTCTATTCCTTTACCATTGTATCAGAACGACCCGCGAAGATAAACACATTTCAACAGCTGCAGAAGTCATCTATCCCCGTTGTCAGCTTACATGAGAGTTGGATTCTTGCTATGAATAACATAGATACGGATTCACTCTCTGAGGAGGAGAGCCAAGCCCTTCAAACTCTTCTCCGAAGGAATCCTCGGACCGTTGGCTATATGGAACGTCTCAGAATGAGGGAAAACCGCCAGGCAGTTGCGGACTTAGTTGATGAAGGATCTTGGTCTTCTTTCTACAGTTCAGTGTTTTACCAAAAATCAGCACACGCCATGGCCAGAAGTATTGATGTCTACTATACAAGCTGGACTGCAAGAATGTAAGTTATTCTAACAATTTATGAGGCACAGTCAGAAAGCCTTACAGTGTTACAACAGCTAGTTTTTATTGACAAAAATAGTGTATATAAAAACTAAATATTATTCAGAGTATTACACTTATTTTTCTTCGTAATTTATTTTTTATTTTATTTAATAGGTAATTATTACAAACAAATTAGCTTACTTGATCCTATGTGGCTAGTCCGAAGGCCCTTAAGCCATTACAATACCTACATCCTTTCGCGTTCTAATCTTTCGAATTCTGGTATTCACCCCAAATGGTCTCTCCATCGCATCAAAGCCGCGGAAAAGAGAACATAAGGTACGGCTGAGGAAAAAAACCCTGAAGGGGGAAAACCTGCCGTCAAAAGCCGAGTACATACTAATCTATCCGACGTTTATTTTAACTATCTTTCGTAATTTACACCATTGGAGTGACACTTATTATGTTCGGGAAAATGGTTGCGAGACTCACAATCATAGAATTCTGACGACTGAGTTTGCATACATATTTCATCTTCGTCTTTGATCTCTTGAGTATCGTCAGTTTTTCATCCAAATAGATACACCTTTAGGTAAAGAAACAAGTGAATCACAGACCACAGGTGGCTCATCGCGCACGTATTGTCAAGGGTACTGTTTTTACATAAAGAGAATTGATGGCCCACTTTGTTACATGTTGCCTCAATATTTCCATAAACGTGAATAATTATTTTGTGGGTATCTGATGATATGTTTTGGTATACCTTTTAGATAGAAACAAAATATGACAGAGCGTATTTCCAGGAATCGATGTTGCATATTGTTTTACTCGAAGGCTCTAATTAGCAGTGCAGAACTACCGAGAGGGGAAAAGGTAAATATGATGGCTAAATCTGGTCTTAACATCAAATACTAAACCATTATGTTTCACATAACCTAGTATGTAATCTTATTTTCCGAATATGTCTTGTACGTTCTTGTATACGTGTATTCATCATATGTTTGTGCGTTATTCGTTCGTACGTGTATAATTGTCGGTCATTTATCTGTTCGTTTTCTATCGTTCATAATTTTATATTCTTACAATTTTTTTCTGAGAGAGTGGGAAACAATAAGTTTACCGTACCATTAATAGTACTCGTCGGTAAAAAATAATGATACTATACATCAAAGCAATTGGGAGTGGTGGATCAGGGCATCAACTGATATAACTGCAGTACCTCTGAGAGGGAGGTCCTAGGTTCGAGTCCCAACAGTGGCTGAATGGCTAGATGGCTAGGGCGAATTTGATAGCTGTCTGGAGGAGAATTCTAGCGGCCGGCTGCTCTGATCGGCAGAGTAGTAGCCAAACAAACGGGCCACGGACCTCGCACGACCTTTCCTTCCTCTTCATTGTCCTATCCTCAATCCCTACTTACACATACAGATGCACTAAACTAACCCACATGTCGGGAGACCGGTCGGGAGCTCTGAGCTTGTCCCGGCTGGGGCGGTGCCGCGCTGGTGGGTGATACACGGTTGGGGGAAACCCCGCTGTAAAATGGTAGGTCACCGCCGGATCTCACCATCCAAGGGAGACGATCACCGCGAGACCTCAAGGAAAATGCGCGTACTACAGTTACATTCTGTCTGTTTCAGAAACTGGCCATGGGTAGATGTAGTTAACAACTTCATTTTGTGCCTGGACCAAGCGGGATTGCGAAAGGTATGGTTCGATTGGTATACAGAAGCCAGCATAATACTGAGCCGCCAATTTTATCCACGCAACGTCGCCCCAGTGGAAGAGAAACATATTTATCGTTCACTCACCCTACGAGATATGGCGCCGTACCTCCTGCTCTTGGGAGAAGGGTTGATTGCATCTACTCTCATCTTCGCAGGAGAGCTATGGCGCGGTCGGCTCTGCCGCTGCAGAAAACCTGCTTTGATTCAGAGGAGGAGCCCATAACAACCTGTTCAATCTCGAGTTAAACAATTTAAGATTTTTCACTCATAATAAACCTCTACAAATACACGTGAGTATTTTTCCCAAATGCTGAAGACGAATTTCCTGTAATTCTTGGAATACTTCGCATCCTTTATTCCGAATACCTCAGAAGAACTGTTAAAGACGTCCATGATATGGGGAAGGCGTTCAGATAGATCTCTTTCTGCCAATGAGCATTCAGGAAATTTCATGTAATGAAGGGACTACACAGATTCGTCACTGGTAGGGAACTCAATATCCACTAGTGTTTTTCAGGTCATATTCTAATGCCGGATGTACATTTTATCGTTCGCCGAAGATTCGAACTGCGTCGACATTGGAATCGAGGGCTCGTTCGCTCAGCGAAGCGATGACTTAACTCCCGTGCTGACACACGGGGACTATCGCTGCACTTCACGTACCATTAAGAAGATGCCGAATGAAGTGATGTCTTCGGCTCGAAGACATTCTTGGCATGCTTCCGGGATCACGGTCTGCGAATCTTTTTTCTGATGAAGCGTGGTTCCATCGAGTGCGTTACGTACAACATGCAAAACAACTGCTATTGGGGATGCAGACCCCACTTGCACCTCTCACGAAAACCATTTCCTACATTAGAACGAGTTGGTTTGCGTATAGTTCCACAAGAATTATAAGGTAATTTTTTCCAGTACCACCATTACATCTGTTAATCAGACATTTGACATAATTTTCTTCCAACCATCGACAGCAGAAAAGAGCTCAATGGGTAACTTTAATGAGGATACGCGGAACAACTGTGTTTGATCCAGAACTTTTTAAATAGTTAATTTTTATATTTGAAAAATATATTAAATAATAATAAGTATGAATATTTATTACATTTATAATAAATATTATAAATATTATAAAAGCTATAATAAATATTATAATAAATATTAATTAAATATTTTATAAAACTGATTTAATAATTAGGTCGTGAATTATGGCCTCCTTGATCACCTGATTGCCCCTGATTCAAACCTTTGTGACTTTTTCCTTTAGGCGCTTACTTGAAGATCAGCGTTTATGCAAAAAACAAAGCATCGGAAGAAGAGGTCGCAGCGTTCTATTGAAGAGAAAAAGTAACAAATCTTTCAGAGCTTACCCCGAAGGTAAATCAGATTATTTTCAGCTGTGCAAGAATGCAGTCGAGCCAAAGAATACCAGTTTCAGTATCTTCTTTTCGGTGCGTTAAGCGCAGCGGTAGTTCCCATATGTCAGCAGGGAGATGAGTAACCACTTCGTGCGGCGAAGGAAACCCTCGGACTCCCCAGACGACGCGGCCCGAATATCTTCGGCAAACGAGAAAATGTACACCCGGATTTCGTATTCCTGCTCCTAAAAACTAATTTTGATGAGTTTCTTCACTCTGAGA